GAAACGGTGACAGTAAGTGAGTTTAAAAGACATTTGCAGGGTAACAGCATGGTGGAAGTGAGCAGTCAGTGAAGGAAAGAGACAAGCTGGGAGAATCCCTTGGGGCTCCCAAAGTCGCTTAACCATCCAAGAGAAGTAACAGAAAAGACATAAGGGCAGAAGGTGTATTTGAATAAATATGAGGATGACTTGCTCTCCACAGCTCTGCAGAGTGTACTGGTCTCTCTCTCTTCGTCACATGCTTCGTAAACAACAAGTGTAGACTAAAAGTGAAATGCTTACTTACGGGCCCTTCCAAACAATGAGAGAGAGAGAAAATAGAGAAATAATAGAAAAGCAATAACACTTTAAATACACAATGAGTAACGATAACTTGGCTATATACACAGGGTACCAGTACCGAATCTATGTGCAGGGGTATGAGGTAATTCAGGAAGATAATGTACGTACATATAACTAGGACTAAAGTGACTAGACAACAGGATAGATAGTCCTGTCCCCTTTGCAGAAAAGCATCCCCAAAGAATGATGTTTCCACCTCCATGCTTCACGGTTGGGATGGTGTTCTTGGGGTTGTACTCATCCTTCTTCTTCCTCCAAACACAGCGAGTGGAGTTTAGACCAAAAAGCTCTATTTTTGTCTCATCAGACCACATGACCTTCTCCCATTCCTCCTCTGGATCATCCAGATGGTCATTGGCAAACTTCAGACGGGCCTGGACATGCGCTGGCTTGAGCAGGGGGACCTTGTGTGCACTGCAGGATTTTAATCCATGACGGCGTAGTGTGTTACTAATGGTTTTCTTTGAGACTGTGGTCCCAGCTCTCTTCAGGTCATTGACCAGGTCCTGCCGTGTAGTTCTGGGCTGATCCCTCACCTTCCCCATGTCAATGATGCCCCACGAGGTGAGATCTTGCATGGAGCCCCAGACCGAGGGTGATTGACCGTCATCTTGAACTTCTTCCATTTTCTAATAATTGCGCCAACAGTTGTTGCCTTCTCACCAAGCTGCTTGCCTATTGTCCTGTAGCCCATCCCAGCCTTGTGCAGGTCTACAATTTTATCCCTGATGTCCTTACACAGCTCTCTGGTCTTGGCCATTGTGGAGAGGTTGGAGTCTGTTTGATTGAGTGTGTGGACAGGTGTCTTTTATACAGGTAACAAGTTCAAACAGGTGCGGTTAATACAGGTAATGAGTGGAGAACAGGAGGGCTTCTTAAAGAAAAACTAACAGGTCTGTGAGAGCCGGAATTCTTACTGGTTGGTAGGTGATCAAATACTTATGTCATGCAATAAAATGCAAATTAATTACTTAAAAATCATACAATGTGATTTTCTGGATTTTTGATTCCGTCTCTCACAGTTGAAGTGTACCTATGATAAAAAGTACAGACCTCTACATGCTTTGTAAGTAGGAAAACCTGCAAAATCGGCAGTGTATCAAATACTTGTTCTCCCCACTGTACATACAAGGAAGGTGAGAGGTGAACAGTGGTAAAATTAAACTGAGCTAAAGAAACGGTGACAGTAAGTGAGTTTAAAAGACATTTGCAGGGTAACAGCATTGGAAGTGAGCGTCATGAAGAAAGCGACACGGGACCTGGGCTCCAAGCGCTTAACCATCAAGAGAAGTACAGAAAAGACATAAGGCGAAATTTGAATAAAATGAGACTTGCTCTCAACTCTGCAGGTGTCGTCTCTCCTTTGTCAATGCTTCGTAAACAAGTGTAGACTAAAATGAGTTACTTACGGGCCCTCCAACAAGAGCAGAGAAGACAATAAAAAGTAATAGAAAAGCAATAACACTTTAAATACACAATGAGTAACGATAACTTGGCTATATACACAGGGTACCAGTACCGAATCTATGTGCAGGGGTATGAGGTAATTCAGGAAGATAATGTACGTACATATAACTAGGACTAAAGTGACTAGACAACAGGATAGATAATAAACAGTAGCAGCAGCGTATGTGATGAGTCAAAAAAGTTAGTGCAAAAAGGGTCAATGTAGATAGTCCGGGTAGCCATTTGGTTAACTATACTGAACAAAAATATGTAAAGTGTTGGTCCCATGTTTCATGAGCTGAAATAAAAGATTCCCAGAAATGTTCCATACGCACAAAAAGCTTATTTCCCTCAAATTTGGTGCACAAATTTGTTTACATCCCTGTTAGTGAACATTTCTCCTTTGCCAAGATAATCCATCCACTTGACAGGTGTGGCATATCCCAAGACCTCCACATCCAGCTTCTTCACACGCGAGATCGTCTGAGACCAGCCACCCAGACAGCTGATGAAACTGAGGAGCATTTCTGTCTGTATTAAAGCCCTTTGTGGGGAAAAACTCATTCTGATTGGCTGGGCCTGGCTCCCCAGTGGGTGGGCCTGGCTCCCAAGTGGGTGGGCCTATGCCTTCCCAGGCCCATCCATGGCTGCGCCCCTGCCCAGTCATGGTGAAATCCATAGATTAGGGCCTAATGGATTTATTTCAATTTAATCGTTTCCTCATATAAACTGTAACTCAGTAAAATCGTTGAAATTGTTGCGTTTATATTTTTGTTCAGTATATTTAACTAACTATTTAGCAGTCTTACGGCTTGTGGGTAGAAACTGTTCAGGGTCCTCTTGGTCCAGACTTGGTGCATCGGTACCACTTGCCATGTAGTAGCAGAGAGAACAGTCTATGACTTGGGTGGCTGTAGTGTTTGACAATTTGTAAGGCCTTCCTCTGACACCGCCTGGTATAGAGATGCTGGATAGCAGGGAGATCGGCCCCAGTGTTGTACTGGGCCGTACGCTCTACCCTCTGTAGCGCCTTGCGGTTGGAGGCCATGCCATACCAAGTTGCCATACCAAGTGGTGATGCAGCCAGTCAAGATGCTCTCAATGGTGCAGCTGTATAACGTTTTGAGGATCTGAGGGCCCACGCCAAATCTTTTCAGACTCCTGAGGGGGAAGAGGCATTGTCGTGCCTCTTCATGACTGTGTTGGTGTGTGTGGACCATGATCGATCCTTAGGGATGTAGATACCTAGGAACTTGAAGCTCTCGACCCGCCCCATCAATGTGAAATGTGCCAGTGATGGCAGTGATGTAATGCAGGAAGTAATGTAATGCAGGAAGCACATCCACTGGGGAGCCTGCTGCCTGCCTCCTACATAGGCTTATATAGCCTATTGGACAGAATAATCGGCATCCAATACGCAACTTTTTGTGTACTGTATGTGAGCGTGTTTATGAATAGTATGCATGTCTCTGCAGGATTTTCATGTGTCAGAGTATCCCTGCTGTAGGGAGAGTACAGTTCACAGGATCTCTTTATCTAAACCGGCTCATATAAAATATAGAGTAAGCTTTCGTCTGGTAACATTAAGCAAAATTAGAACAAACAAACAAACGTACTGAGTGAGTACCCATGGGGATGCAGGGTGGATCCCTATAACTATGTAATGTAAACAAGTTAATTACCCTCCTATGAAGGATGCACAGGCTTCTCCTCCTTTCCCCTCCAAACACTCAGGCAGGAAACACAGAAGCTGTGAGTGGAGGGGGCCTGGACACAGAGGAAATGAGGTTGAGAGATACTGTGTGAGTGGTGGAGTCCTCTGACATCCTTATTTAAGGCATAGCAGAGTGGGTAAGACGGCAGTGCCTGTCCGGAGGCCTGGGAGTGATGGGGGATGGGGTTAGGGGTGTAGGACCTAGCGGGGTGAGGGAGAGGGCAACAGTTGCATTTGGGGAAGAGGGGGCAGGGAGGGACTGGATATGGTGAAATGGTAGTGTATCTGTAGACAGTTGTCTGGAGAAGGGAAAAACCTTAGAAGGGGGAAGAGGAAGGCTGGAATATAAGGCCTTGGGGAGGTCAGGGGTACAAATGAGCAAAACAAAACAACAACTTCAAACCAAATGACGTGCTTTATTCAATGTTATACAGTTGACACAGTACAGCACCAGGATGACAACATAAAACAAGTCCAAATTCTGACATAATAACACATTTGAGACATTATTATTCAGACACGCTTGAAGCCCATTCATTTAACAACCAGTAACAAAAAATAAAGTCCCTGAATTAGCCTGTCTGTGTGAGTGTCTGCTACTGAACAACCATACAATTACCTTGTAATAGGAGCCGTGTCATTACATTGGGAGAACAGTAGCACACGTTGAGGAAACGTTCAGTGATCCTCTCCCCTCTTAGCTCAGGTTTAAGAAGCAGCTAAGCTGACATGTTGATAAAACATAAATCTTTCATCTTGCATCATGTCAGAAACTGTGATGGTTATTGGTATAACTAAGGTACATCAGAGTGAGACAAATCTTTCTCTTCAGATTAGCTGGAATGTATCCAGAGTAGCGCAGTCTGCACAACAGGGAGGTGAAATGCAATCAACTTTAACTCTTCCAATGAACAGCGCACCAAACCGAATCACTGAAGGATGGCACAAATATCTGAGCAGTGTATGGATTCTTCCTCTCTTTCCCTCTCTCCTTCTCCCTTTCAAGTCAATGCCAATAACAACTGATTCAGAGTTCAGGGTGTGGAATCATGAGTGTGCTGCTCATTCTTCTCTGCTCACTCCTGGAATAGTTTCCCCTTTTTTTTATTTTTTTACCCTGGTGATGATGATGACCAATGTTCAGTACAGGAACACCCTCACAGCCATGTGCTGAGGTAAGCAGGTTAACACTGCCACCACACCTCTCATAGAGGTAGGAAGACACAGTCAAGGGTCTGAGTCTAGGTGATTCAGGTCACACGCAGGTCCAGGAACAGATGGAGGTGTAATGAGAGCGCTGTGTGTAGATTGGGAATGTGAAGTCTGAGACAGGTCCAAAAACAGCAGGTAGCAGGTACAGTTGGCCATCCAGACAGATGGGCAGTCCAGAGGCCAAGTACTGGGAAGAGAAACCATGGTAGGGAACTGGGCAGGCATGTTCAGAGTGGTGCGCACGCATGTGTCACAATTGTTAGTGTGCTTCCTCCATTATTTAATGTCATCGCTTCATGATGTTGCCGAGACGTACTTTCTTTTCCTGCTCAAACTGCCGGTGGTCAACTCTCTGCAGGAAATTCTTTCTCTCCACATACCTAAAAACCAACAAACACAGAAAACAGAATTACTAACACACACAAAAACATCCAGCAAGAGATATTACGAAGCACGCGTGCAAACACACACACACTGCTCCAATAGAACAACAGCCGTTCTGGGACACGCATGTTACACAAGGTCCTGGCTCATTGTTATAGTGAACACCTGATAGCATGTTAGCGCTAAGTGCGCACACACAAGTGAATTAGTTGATTAACAACTCTCTGGCTTATGTTGTAGCTTACACTTGAATAGCTGAGGTATTGATAACTAAATCTGCATTTGTGTGATGAAGATGAGTGTAATGAATCCCTAGGTTATAAGACAGAGGGGATGTAAGTGTCCCCAATGGCTGTTTAACCATTCACACCCACCAGGAGCTAGAAAAGTAGCTCTTCCCATCTTTTTTTCCTTTGCCTTCGCTCTCTAAGCATTGCCTCTGCCTCGCACACTAGGATCCATATCTCTACACACAAGGGACAGCTTGAATTAAAGACACCACTGCACCCACAGTTATCCTCCAAACCCAAACCCATTCCCAGAGGAAGGAAGAAGCCAGCTCCCTCACGGCTCACGCCCACCACTGGTTGTTCTCTGGCCCTGGATCAGAGAGAGGGAGATCTCATCACTGGCCCCCCAGTCTGTGTGTGACCCACGTGGGAGAGCCGGCCCAGGGCGTAGCCCTACTATGGGGCTGTCTGGAGCTCCAAGAACAGCTCTGCGGCCTCCCAGTGTGGCCCAGTGGACCGCCTTCCTTCAGCCTACTGCAGCCTCTTGCCCAGTCCCCTGGCCTCCGAACCCTATAGACTGACTCCCTCCACAGAACCACATCCCTCCCAAAGAAATGGAAAAACACGGGAGAAATTGAGGTATTCGGAGAAAGCAGCAATTTAGCCTGTCGGACAGGTTGTATTTCTGAACCCTCTAAACTATGGTCTTTAATTGAATGTATTTACTTCATCTCACCACTGTCTAGAGAGGCTGAATATAGAGTGAGACGGTCTCCTCTCTCATCTCCTATACTGTAGCACAGACATAGTGGTGGGTAGTGTGACATCTCTGCCTGCATGGTTGAGAGCCTCCTCTACTCTCAGCAGGCAGTGACGGAGTTAATCATCCCAATGTTACTAGGGCTGCTCTTAGCAACGGGCAATGATGTCATGCTAGATTAGCATCCACAGGGGAGTATGAACCCCCCAAGTGCCTGGCTCTAGTGGAGACGAAAACATCCCAACACACTGGGATTGGAGAAATGAGAGAGCTAGCTCCCACCTCACACTGAGGAGCGCTGGGTAGCCATGGAGACAGTTGCAGGCTGGGTAATTATAATGACTGTGTAATTATGATACCCCCAAGACATGCTAACCTCCCCTGCTATTGGTAATGGTGAGAGGTTAGCATGTCTTGGAGGTATGATCTTTGACCCTCTGTAACTTTCTCACTCATCATTATTAACAATTCATTCATCAATATCTGTAATCATGGTAGCATCCACATTAAATTAATGTAGAAGTGTTTAGAAACATATTATATTCTTATTTATAATACAAGTGACACAATACATTATTTACCATTCAATTTTATTGGGCACAAAATAATCTGAAACACAACCACAACGAACTGCAAATGCATCCAACAAGTTGATGTAATCTTTGCGTGCTAAGAATATGGGACCAAATACTAAATTTTGGACTACTTTACTTATAAAAATATTTTTTTTAAATAATTTTGACCCCTACCTTTTTGAGAGAAAAAAAGTATTACTTGTTAAAATAAATCTCTTTCTCTGAGTAATTGTATTAGTATAAAATAATATACACTGAGTGTACAAAACATTAGGAACACCCCCCTTTCCCCTCAGAACAGCCTCAATTCGTCGGGGCATGGACTCTACAAGGTGTCGAAAGCGTTCCACAGGGATGCGGGACCATGATGACTCCAATGCTTCCCACAGTTGTGTCAAGATGGCTGGATGTCCTTTGAGTGGTGGACCATTCTTGATACACATGGGAAACTGATAAGTCAAAAACCCAGCAGCGTTGAAGTTCTTGACACAGTCAAACCGGTGTGCCTGGCACCTACTACCATACCCCGTTCAAAGGCACTTAAATATTTTGTCTCACCCATTCACCCTCTGAATGGCACACATACAGGACACAATCCATGTCTCAGTAGTCTCAAGGCTTAAAAATCCTTCTTTAACCTGTCTCCTCCTCTTCATCTACATCGATTGAAGTAGATTTAACAAGTGACATCAATAAGGGATCACAGCTTTCACCTGGATTCACATGGTCAGTCTGTCATGGAAATAGCAGGTGTTCCTAATGTTTTTGTACACTCAGGGTAATTTCCCAAATTTTTTGCATACAATATAGCTCTGTATTTGAATTATTTATTTTATTCAGTCATTATTGCTCATCTTTATCAAGGGTGTCAATAATTTCAGACCCCACTGTATATCAACTGACACCTCACAGTCACCACTCAGCAAAAGATGGAGACCCTGTTGATGATGTCATGACTTCACCGTTGGCCTATCTGACAGAATTTGGTCATCTGATTCTGCGCCAATTTTTTCCACCCAATCTACATATGATTTGGCATCTTTAATTTCTCTGTCATATGTTCTCCACAAAGCAGGTCACCTTCCTATGGGTGAACACTTGAACTTGGCCTAAATGTTTCATACGCCTCAAGGTGACTTCAGTTTACAGTGGTTGATGCGATAGGAATATAGCGTGCTGGGTAGTTGTTGTCTACACACATTACTTTTGAGTGCAACACTCCAGAGTTCCCCTCAGGTCTCACTGTTAGCTACACACCATAAGACTGGCCTACATCTTTTCTACATTCATTATTCATGACCAAAAGCAAAGAGATGTTTAGAAGAGAGTTGGCTACACAGTAAATTTAGACCAACTCAACTCTCACCCTCATTTCACTGGCATCTCCTATGTGGTTTGTGTGTGTGACAGAAATAGGCATGCGTATGATGCACACATACACTACATGACCAAAAGTATGTGGACACCTGCTCGTCGAACATCTCATTCCAAAATCATGGGCATTAATATGGAGTTAGTCCCCCTTTGCTGCTATAACAGCCTTCACTATTCTGGGAAGGCTTTCCAGTAGATGTTGGAACATTGCTGCGGGGACTTGCTTCCATTCAGCCACAAGAGCATTAGTGAGGTCAGGCACTGATGTTGGGCCATTAAGCTTGGCTCGCAGTCGGCGTTCCAATTCATCCCAAAGGTGTTCGATGGAGCTGGGGTCAGGGCTCTGTGCAGGCCAGTCAAGTTCTTCCACACCGATCTCGACAAACCATTTCTGTATGGACCTCACTTTGTGCACAGGGGCATTGTCATGCTGAAACAGGAAATGGCCTACCCCAAACGGTTGCCACAAAGTTGGAAGTACAGAATAGTCTAGAATGTCATTGTATGCTGTAGCGTTAAGATTTCCCTTCACTGGAACTAAGGGGCCTAGCCTGAACCATGAAAAACAGCCCCAGGCACGACACCTTTTCTGCAGAGCTCCTGGGTACATGGATCTGGACTGCTGTTACCATGTACAGAGCAGGTGTTGCTCTGCACCTGACTCCCTGCCCCCCTCTAACCTCATATATACAACCTGCTCTAGACTGTGTTTTGTTAGCTCTGCTCATTAGCTTTCCTGTGACGCAGGAGGAGAAGGGACCAGTAGCCAGGCTGCACAGCTCATCAGTCAGAGACACAGATGAGGATGGAGATGAGAGGGGGAGAGAAATATGGAGCGGGGGGCTGTTAAATTATTAATCTGTTCAACAGTAACCTTTAGGAAAGAATAATGCTACTGCAGGGCCTCTGACAGTAGAGGGAAAATCCAGCCTGTGCTGGGAGAGGAAAGGGAGATGGACGCCACATGGATGCTGCTGGTATTCTGAGCAGGCATGCAGACAGACAGCTGCTTCATACCTACAGGTCAGGCAGGGGGATAAGGCTGGACTGCTGCAGAGCTCAGTCAGGAACAACCTGCCTATCATCACAAAGGACTTGTCTATCAGAGATGATCTTTCTGTCTATCCAGAGTCCAACCTGCTGGTGACTACTGTAGATAGATAGAGGCCACTGGTATCAAAGACAGACGTGTGCTGTAGCTCAGGATTAGTACTGGACAGTAGACAGGATATGGGTCCAGTCCACCAGGATAAGGCTGGTGGGTAGAGGCAGAATACTTTTAAACTGATCTATCAGTTTCCCTGCCTCTCTATGGTGGAGTGGTGTTGCAGAACACTATATGGCATCGCTGGTACCAATAGAGAGACTAACCCTTCTTTGCCCCGGTTGTGGATGGCCAGCTCGTCCCCGATGCCCTCCTCATCCTTGAAGGCGTCCCAGTCCATCTTGGACTTCTCCAACGTGCTCATCTTCTGTTTCTTCCCCCCGAGGCGGTTCAGGATGCTGCCCATCCCTGCAGGCCTCTTCACACTGAGGAGGACACATATGGACGTTACACACTGACAGATAACACAGACACAGGGCTGATGAAGCTGGCAATTTTTGCAAGCCTCTTCTTCAGGAAATGGGAGAGAAAAGGGATGATGGAAGTTTCAAGGGAGAGAAATAAATGAAATCATCACAAGCTTTAATGCTCACAATGAAGAGAATGGACTAATGGGGCAAGGGAGAGAATGAGGAGAGAGAGGAGCATAAAAGGAGTTGGGGAATAGGGATGGATTTCAGATGATAAGACCGAACAAAATAAAATTGCAATTATTCTTCTGGCAGTGTATTTCAGACCCTCAGCTTGTTTCTTTGTGCAGCTGTGTGAACAAAGACGTCAGTCCATTTTGAATCAGAAGAAAGTCATCCTGACACTGAGGTTTCGCTTGGCTGCAGTAATGAAATGTTAAACGATGTGTGCTGAGAAATAGCTGAAGACATTAGACTGGCTCTTCTCTCCCTCTCCCTCCACCATAAGGAGGCCTAGGGGGAGGCAGAGGGCCATCAGACCTTGGGGGGAACTAGAGGGTGTCAATGGTCCAAGGACGAGCACTTTCACACTCAGGTGTCATAGTGCAGGTCCCTTCAAAAGGAACAGACTCAAAATGTGTTTTCACTATTGCTTTCCTCTCTTTATGTGCATCTGTGTGTGTGTGTGTGTGTTTGTGCGTGTCAGTAGACAGTAAAGACAGGGTGTGTTTAACAAGGGCGTCTCCTATCTCAAGGTTTTTGTGGATCACCAAGAAAGGGAAGTGACACTGAAACGAAGGTCAAGAAAAGATGACATGGCAGCCCACACCCTTCCACACCCACACATGTATCCGCAAACATGCCCACGCACAGCCTCCCGCTCCAAACATGTTGATAACAACCCTGTTTATATAGAGTTCCAGCTCATTGGAAGTGTGTTACAACAAGCTGCTCGTAATGTAATCGGCCGTAACAGGCTGCTATAAAATGACAAGGCAACGCGAGGACAAACACACACTGGCAAACATACTAATCAATCCAGCTGGAGGTAGGGCCAGCAACAAGCCTGAATCACTAACACACACTCCAATATTGTCAGTCATACAGTGCTACTATAGTATATCGCTACTTAAAGGACTGTGGTGAATTTACAGGTAGAGAGAAAAGGAGGAATAAGAGGAAAAAGAGAAAGATACTTTTCTCTCTTTCCATAAAGAGGGTAAGGGTTCTTTGAAGAGAAACAAGGCTAAAGTCTGCCTGACAGAATGCATTTGCCATCTGTGCCGGCGCTGTCAGCATCGTTCAGAGAGAAGAGGATGGCGGGCAACAGAAACGCGAGGGGGAATTTGACTTTTCTTCTGCATTATTTTGTTTGTCTGTCTTTCTGTGATTCCCTTCAGGAACAGATCCATTTCCTGCAGAATAGCAGAACGCCACACATACACGTCTTATCCTACCAACACACATAGACACATACCTGTTGACTGAACATGTCACATAAGCCCATGATTACAGACAGCTTCTGCCAACTGTGTCCACTGAGCACTGTTCCCACGGCAGCCTGACATGGGCCAGACTAAACATCCAAACAGCTTAGTATTCTACACATGCACGCAGCCACATGTAGACACACACAAGTGAATGCATGCACATGTGCTCAGAACACATTCAGATCTTAATTTGACCTATATTGTCACAGCAAAACAATCTGGCAGCAACAGGATTAGTCAAGAATGTTGCTTGATCGGTGGTTAGGCTATTAGCTGGCCAAAAATAAGCTACATGAATAGTGCAATACTGTTAATTTAACCGTGTGTTAGTGTGGGTTTTCCTGCGGTGCAGGAAAATTCTCAGCAACAAAAGGGTGATCAAATCAAGATACTACATTTGTCCTTGGTACACACGGACGGAAGCACGCACACCTACACATGCACACATTGTTCTATACCTACAAAAACAATAATATCCACTTAGAACACAGTGTATGGTGAGGAAAACTACATGGAGTTAAACAAAACACAAAACAGCTAAATGAATTAAGGTCACATATCTAATGTTGTTTTTCTTTTTGCTCCGACCCAATCCTGGCTCAGCTCCCAAGACAGGCGCTGCCAGTGTCCCACTCACTGCACTGCATCATTGGCCTCTGCTAAACACTGGGATACTGCTGCGCAGTCATGTGCAAGCAGCCAGTCTCAATGCAGCAAATTGAGCCTCAGCCTCCACAGCAGACTGCTAAAGCACATAGAGGTCTATAGAGGTCAGATACACTACACAAAACAACTCCAGTGTTAATATGTCAACATCTCGGTGACTGTGTCAAGGTTTGTGAGCCTCATTTGGGATGGAGAGAGTTATGGAGAGGGATGGAGAGAGTTATGGAGAGGGATGGAGAGAGTTATGGAGAGGGATGGAGAGAGTTATGGAGAGGGATGGAGAGAGTTATGGAGAGGGATGGAGAGAGTTATGGAGAGGGATGGAGAGAGTTATGGAGAGGGATGGAGAGAGTTAAGGAGAGGGATGGAGAGAGTTATGGAGAGGGATGGAGAGAGTTAAGGGATGGAAGGAAAAAGGTTGAGGGATACAGAGCAGTAAAGCAGTTCCTTAGTGAAGAGGCAGGGTAAACCGTGCAGCTATAGGTATACCTGCTCACACGCACCACTGTAATCCAGGCTCCAAACTGCTGTGAAAGGGGATAAATAGACAATCAGGGCTCAACTGATAGTCATTCCAGCCTGTCCCCATCCCTGTGTTGTGGGCTGGGGAGGGTCTGGGCAGTGTGCCATGCTGCAGCACTCAGCTCTCTATGAGTCTGGAGAGAATGTTAAACGCATGGCCAAGGTTACAGCACAGCCCTCCAGCAGAGATAACCCACTGTCCAGGCTGCACGGCCTGTTCTAGGAACATACAAACACACATGGATACATAGACACACACGTACACACTCTCTACACACACACTCACACGTGTGGTCTGGCTGATAGGAGGCCGCCAGTAATCACAGTCCAGTTTATTTGAAGACTGGTGTCTCCCATGACCAGAGACCCTCTCTATAGCAGTCTCACACACGGACACTGATAACACACAGAGCATGAAGGTAGTACACACACTAAACATACACACTCAAAATGGACATGATGACAGACATGCACACACACACAGCTCTGCAACCTTGGTGGAGGAAGGAGAGGAGAAGAAAGGTGAAGTGAGGTGAGGTGAGGAGCGGGGGGCTAAGAGCCAATGCAGACAGACAGAAGGACTGTAATGGCCATCTCACTGAATACCTCTCTCTCTGTCTCTGTCAGGAAACAGCTGTCATAAAAGCTCCTTACAACAAACCCGCTCTCTATTCTTCTACTGTTGCCTCAAAAGGAAATACATTCCTAAGCTCAGCCTCCCCACCACATTCCATTGTGCTGCACAAGGAATGTGTCCCCTTCTCAGGGAGGGCTGTCAGAATGGGACTGACCCCAAGCTTTACCCATAATAACAAACAAATGGACCACTAAAATGGATTCATGATGTACTGTCAACCATGGGTGCTGATAGTTAGTTAGGCTAACGGCTGCTATGCTCTGTTACACTACAGACCAGACCACCATGGTAAAATCCTCTTCTCTGTGGACCTCAACCTTCCCGTCTCTGTCCCCTCTCAGTGTCCTGTCCCTGTCTGTCTTAGATGTACTGAGAGGTCTGTCTGAACAACGGGACAGGGAGATGATTGTCAGACCCAGATATATCAAGGTATAAACATGGAGAAATTTCATTTTATCGGCAACGTTATACTCCATTTGGTTGGACTCTTGCGATACTTTTCCGTGTGCGCATGCGTTGGCTACATGGAGAAGCATGGCTCGAGTCCAACCAAATGGAATATAACGTTGCGGATAAAGTTCGGAATGACACAATTTCATGTGTACATGTACAAGACCTGCATACCTTCCGGAGACACTTGAAACCCTACCTCTTTAAGGAATACCTGGAATAGTATAACAGTAATCCTTCTACCCCCCCATAAAAATAAAAAGGGTGGTTATCCCACTGGCTATCCTAAGTTGAATGCACCAATTTGTAAGTCGCTCTGGATAAGAGCGTCTGCTAAATTACTTAAATGTAATGTAAATCACTATACTGAGAGCGTTGCTGTTTCTAAAAGGACATACAGTGCTTTCAGAAAGTATTTACACCCCTTGACTTTTTCCACATTTTGTTGTGTTACAGCCTGAATTAAACAATTCATTAAATCGAGATTTAGTGTGACTGTCTCACTGGCCTACACACAATACCATATGACGTCAAAGTGGAATTATGATGTTGTTGTTTTTAACATTTTAAATTAATAAAAAACTAAAAGCTGAAATGTCTTGAGTCAATAAGTATTCAACCCCTTTGTTATGGCGAGCCTAAATACGTTCAGGAGTAAAAATGTGCTTAAAAAGTCACGTAATAAGTTGCATGGACTCAGTCTGTATGCAATAATAGTGTTTAACATGTTTTTTGAATGACTACCTCATCTCTGTACCCCACACATACAATTATCTGTAAGGTCCCTCAGTCGAGCAGTGAATTTCAAACACGGATTCAATCACAAAGACCAGGGAGGTTTTCCAATGCCTCGCAAAGTAGGGCACTTATTGGTAGATGGGTAAAAAATAAAATAAATGACATTGAATATCCCTTTGAGCATGGTGAAGTTATTAATTACACTTTGGATGATGTATCAATACAACCAGTCACTACAAAGATACAGGCGTCCTTCCTAACTCAGTTGTTGGAGAGGAAGGAAACCGCTCAGGGATTTCACCATGAGGCCAATGGTGACTTTAAAACAGTTACAGAGTTTAATGGCTGTGATAGGAGAAAACTGAGGATGGATCAACAAAATTGCACACATATGATCAAAAGTATGTGGACACCTGCTTGTCAAACATCTCATACCAAAGTCATGGGCATTAATATGGAGTCTGTCCTCCCCTTTGCTGCTATAACAGCCTCCAGTCTCCTTGGAAGGCTTTCCACTAGATTTGGAACATTGATGAGGGAACTTGCTTCCATGTTGGGCGATTAGGCCTGGCTCGCAGTCGGCGTTCCAATTCATCCCAAAGGTGTTCGATGGGATTGAGGTCAGGGCTCTGTGCAAGCCAGTCAAGTTCTTCCACACTGATCTCGACAAACAATTTCTTTATGGACGTTGCTTTGTACAAGGGGGCATTGTCATGATAAAACAGGAAAGGGCCTTCCACAAACTGTTGCCACAAAGATGGAAGCACAGAATCGTTTAGAATGTCATTGTATGCTGTAGTGTTAAGATTTCCCTTCACTGGAACTAAGGGGCCTAGCCCGAACCATGAAAAACAGCCCCAGACCATTAATCCTCCTCCACCAAACTTTACAGTTGGCACTATGCATTCAGGCAGGTAGCGTTCTCCTGGCATCCGCCAAACCCAGATTCATCAGTTGGACTGCCAGATGGTGAGGTGTGAACGCGTTTCCACTGCTCCAGAGTCCTATGGCAGCGAGCTTTACACCATTCCAGCCAACGCTTGGCGCATGCTCAGCCATGGAAAACCCATTTCATGAAGCTCCTGGCGAACAGTCCTGGTGCTGATGTTGCTTCCAGAGGCAGTTTGGAACGCGATAGTGTTGCAACCGAGTTTTTTACGCGCTACATCACTCGTCGGGCCCGTTCTGTGAGCTTGTGTAGCCTACCACTTCATGGCTGAGCCGTTGTTGCTCCTAGACGTTTCCACTTCACAATAACAGCACTTACAGTTGACAGGGGCAGCTCTAGCAGGGCAGAAATTTTACGAACTGACTTGTTGGAAAGGTGGCATCCTATGACGATACCGCATTGAAAGTCAATGAGCTCTGAGTAAGGCCATTCTACTGCCAATGTTTGTCTAAGGAGATTGCACAGCTGTGTGCGATTTTATACACCTGTCAGCAATGGGTGTGGCTGAAATAGCCGAATCCACTCATTTGAAGTGGTGTCCACATACTTTTGTATATATAGTGTAGTTACTCCACAATACTAAGCTAAATGACAGAGTGAAAAGAAGGAAGCCTGTACAGAATAAAAATATGACAAAAGATGCATCCTGTTTGTATTAAGGCACTAAAGTAAAACTGCAAAACATTTGGCAAAGAAGTTCCGTTATGCATTACAATGGTCCAATATAATCCAATCACAATAATTGTATAACAAGAGAAAACATTTAGCCACTGTCCAGTGATAATGCATAGCCTATGCAATTATGAGTGTGTTTGGGCACCAGAGAGTGACAATAGAGTATGTTTAATCATATTTGTTATAGGCTTTATTCAACTGCAGGCTTGACAGTTTTAATAGAGACCTTTGAAAGGAGGCCAATTGGCTACCCATCCTTACTAAAATAAAACAAGCAAACAAGCCCATACAATCAAACTAATGAGCAAACAACAGCCGTAGCAGTACCTCGAGCCTCATTCGGTCTTCCAGCTACAGTACAGTCCTTCTCTGTGGTGCAAGACTCAGGTGACTGAAGTGATGCCAAGATGGACTACACCGTATGTCAGTGTGTGTGTGTGTGTGTGTGTGTGTGTGTGTGTGTGTGTGTGTGTGTGTGTGTGCGCGCGCATTCTGGCATGCCCATCTGAACTTTCCTCAGAAGATTCCCTCCGTTCCTCTATCTTTCCCTCTCTCTCTCTCCATTCCTCCTTTGCTCTCCTCATTTCTCAATGATCTTCAAAGCCTGGTCCAGTCAGGAATGTGTTGCCAGGGGGCTGGTGGGTATCTCCTCCCCTGCCCTGCCCTGCCCAGCCCTGGGTGAGTCAATGAGTGACAGCTCTAGGTTAGGGTGGACAATACGGAACACCTGCTGTGGAGGGGCTCAGGAGATAAAAGATCCCAGAAATGTTTCATACGCACAAAAAGCTTGTTTCTCTAAAATGTTGTGCACAAATGTGTTTACATCAATGTTAGTGAGCATTTCTCCTTTGCCAAGATAATCCATCCACCTAACAGGTGTGGCATATCAAGAAGCTGATCAAACAGCATGATCATTACACAGGTGCACCTTGTGCTGGGGACAATAAAAGAGTGCAGTTTTGTCACACAACACAATGCCACAGATGTCTCAAGTTTTGAGGTAGTGTGCAATTGGCATGCTGACTGCAGGAATGTCCACCAGAACTGTTGCCAGAAAATGTCATTTTCTCTACCATAAGCCGCCTCCAACATTGTTTTAGACAATTTGGCAGTACGTCCAACCGGCCTCACAAGTGCAGACCACGTGTAACCACACCAGCCCAGGACCTCCACATCTGGCTTCTTCATCCGCGGGATCGTCTGAGACCAGCCACCCGGACAGCTGATGAAACTGAGGAGCATTTCTGTCTGTAGTAAAGCCCTTTTGTGGGGAAAAACTCATTCTGATTGGCTGGGCCTGGCTCCCCAGTTGGTGGGCCTATGCCCTCCCAGGCCCACCCATGGCTGCGCCCCTGCCCAGTGATGTGAAATCCATAGATTAGGGCCTACTTTATTTATTTCAATTGACTGATTTCCTTATATTAACTGTAACTCAGTAAAATCGTTGTAATTGTTGCATTTATATTTTTGTTCAGTATATTAAATAGATCACAACATTTCCTTTGCAACAGATGGGTAGATGGGTCTCATTAGGAAAATACATTTTGGGGTCATCCTCACAATTCAAGCCAGACCACAATGAATACAATTCAGTTTGTCCTAATAGCAACCTAATGCTTCAACCCAACTCTCCTTTAATAGTCCAACAAGTGTACGCTCTCTGAGAGGGCTATCCCTATGCAATTCTCATATAAAGACTTTTCCTACAAAACCCACACTATGATGGAGAATTGGGCTAGGGACTAAAATGTTGTGACAACCCTTATAAACATTTTTTATTGCATGACAGTCTTAAGCTTTTCAATAAAATGATCAGTAAACAGCTCTAGATGTATTATGATTAGTGACATTTACCATTAAACCCAACACAACCAAATACCATTACAATTGCAAAACACTATGTGTGTTTGGGACTTTTACCATTGAAGACCATAACATTGAAACCATTAGAACTGTTGTAGCCTAAGGGTTTGCGTGTTCACCAGGAATGGTCTAACAGTAACTAATCCAGGCATTTTTGAAGGGAATAAACCAGACACAAAGGGTCGTTTCCTGGACACAGATTAAGCATAAAAGAAGGACAAACTGATTTTCTTTCATGGAGGACTGGCTTGAATTGTCAGGATTTCATCATGAGCCAAATCAAATACTTTCACATTACTTTATAGATGGGTTGTCTGACAGCGTCACGAAAACAATGTGCGCACATCGCAGAGGCAGAAGGCTGTGTGTTATTATGATTCTGGATGGCCAGAGGCTGCCATGTGGGGAATCGTAAGTGGCTTGTTTCAGCTCGTTGTATCTAGTTATTGATAGCATTACTTGTTTTGACTCATGTCACGTCTATGCTAATAAGGCAAAAATAGCCAGCTAGCTAACCAACAACTGTAACAATGTATTTGAGAGACAGCAAGTGCTCATTGTGCAAAATGATTTAACCTTTCAATAAATATTTGGAGAATAAATATATTTTACATGTTGTCAACAATCTTTTGATTCTAAGCCAACCCCGTTTGCTTTGCCCAAAAGTTGCGCACGCATCGGTTTTGTTGCTAAACAAGCGACTTCAATTACAAAATAAACATACCTAGATTCAAACGTAGAGAACTGATACTGAATACTGGTTGTTGGAGTGGGATTGGCATTGGGTGTGGGGGGTCCGTGGGTGGCTTTTTAAATTTTGGGGTGATTCCTCATGTCTTACTCACTGGTAGGAAAAAGTTGGGTGCAAATCGGATGTTGGGTACTATATTTATTGAATATTATCTGAATCCTATAAATAAAATTGCCAATTTGGGTGCAATCAATTAGCTTAATAAAATAAAGATAACATTACATTTCAACAAAATAATGTTTCAGGAATGCCAATCTTACCTGTCAGAGTGTACCTGCAGCAGTAGCTAGTTACCTCTGCTTTCTGCTCTGCCTGGCTGTGTTGTGTTCTAAGTCAATACATAAGCAGCATGTTGGTTAATATCTCCTCTCCCCTAATGGGTCTCTCCACAGGGGCCTTGCTCCACATTTACACACAATCACCAGCCCTCTAGCTCACTGTCACACAGGCTATTTATACATGACAGTATGCATCTCTCTCTCTCACAATATGTGAGTGCCTCCTCTTCAGATTATTCATTCCATTTTCACCCTCTATGCTCTTGCATCTCTCTCCCTCCTCCCGATGAGTCCCACTCAATATATCCCCTCTCAGTTTCTCTATCCCCCTTTCTCCTAAAATCCAGATGGTTTAAACAAACACGGGTAGAGTGCAGACTAGCCCAGAAAATCTAAGAACTATGTGATTCAGAAATACATCTCAGGCCCATTTAGTCTGAGGAACTGACATAAAAGCAGAGACACAAAGAGCACCAGAGGTTAGGCTAGGCTGCAGCTAAAAATATACATTAACTTCAGAGCAGTTGGCCTCTGTGTGCTGCTGTGTCAGGGGACTCTCCTCTTTCACCAGGCACTAACACAGACTAGGCCTGAATCAGAAGCTAGGGGGGTTAGTCTCAGGACTCCTCTAACAGAGTTTAAACTCCTTCTCCCATGGACCCTATGATGGGTAAAACACACATGTTCCTCTGCTGTGGTTACCAGGGCGACTGTCAAACACACCGACTCAACAGGAAAGAGGGAGGTCAGGGGAAATGTGGCTCGGGGTGTGGGTGTCTCAGGTGTGTGTGTGTGTGCAGACATTGTCTTTGCTGTGCGTTCGAGGCTTCTTTTTATAGTCTATGGCTCGAGGAAACTGTTCAGACACGGTGTTCTGAGCAATCTGATTGGCCAGCGGTAGGTCTATAGCTGCACTTGATTTGCTCTCTGGGCCTGCCGGGTAGGCGGATTTCTACCTTCAGACACATGAAATGGTTCAAAATGGCAACACTTTGCCTCCCGGCACTAGGGCTGCTGAATCAAGTGCACCTACCGCCAACAGCGAGAAACTAATAAAAAAGGGTTTTTGTAGATTTGTTTACCTAAATGTTTGGTGATCTACTAGGAATGCCTTGGTGACCACTGCGATCGACTGGTTTGTGACCACTGCTCTAACCAATACAAAACAAACAAATCACATGCATGAACACAAAAAGGATGCCTCCTCAGCAAAAACTTTACCACCATCTGAAAGAACTTTCCCACATGCACACACACACCCTACAGGCAGGCAGGTGCGATGCCTCAGGTCATGTGAACCAACCTGTGAGACACACTATTAACAACACCACCTTCCTCTCGACCCAGTGGGCTTCCTATCCACACCTTATAATGGCTGCTAAAAATCTATGTGTGTGTTTGTGTGTGTGTGTGTGTGTGTGTGTGTGCATCAATCCCAGTGTGTGCACACTGGTTGCTATAGTGCACACAGACTGTCAGCTCTCTCCTGTCACAGTTCCTCTCACACATCACTGTCACAATATATTCACCTTCCAGTGTCCCAGTTACAGCTTGTCCTCAGCCCTGCCAGATACAATTAGACCTGTGTGATTTCGCTCTCCGTAGCCGATATGAGTAAGAACTTTAAATAGGTTAAAATTCACAAGGCTGCAGGGCCAGATGGATTACCAGGACGTGTACTCAGAGCATGCGCTGATCAGCTGGCAAGTGTCTTCACTGACATTTTCAACCTCTCCCTGACCCAGTCTGTAATACCTACATGTTTCAAGCAGACCACCATAGTCCCTGTGCCCATGAACGCCAAGGTAACCTGTCTAAATGACTATCGCCCCGTAGCACTCACATCTGTAGCCATGAAATGCTTTGAAAGGCGGGTCATGGCTCACATCAACACCATCATCCCAGACATCCTGGACCCACTCTAATTCACATACCACCTCAACAGATCCACAGATGACGCAATCTCTATTGCCATAGTGCCCTTCAAGCTCATCACTAAGCTCAGGATCCTGGGATTGAACAGCTCCCTCTGCAACTGGACTTCCTGACAGGCCGCCCCCAGGTGGTGAGGGTAGGCAACAACACATCCGCCACGCTGACCCTCAACACAGGGGCCCCTCAGGGGTGAGTGCATAGTCCTCTCCTGTACTCTCTGTTCACCCACGACTGTGTGGCCACGCACGACTCCAACACCATCATTAAGTTTGTTGACGACACGACGGTGGTAAGCCTGATCACCAACAACTATGAGACATCCTATAGGGAGGAGGTCCGTGACATGGCGGTGTGGTGCCAGGACAACAACCTTTCCCTCAACGTCAGCAACACAAAGGAGCACGCCCCCATCCACCGAACACGCTGTAGTGGAGCGAGTCGAGAGCTTCAAGTTCCTCGGTGTCCACATCACTAAGGATCTATCATGGTTTTACACACACCAACACAGTCGTGAAGAAGGCACGACAATGCCTCTTAACCCTCAGGAGGCTGAAAGGATTTGGCATGGGCCCTCAGATCCTCAAAAAGTTAAACAACTGCACCATTGAGAGCATCTTGACAGGCTGCATCACCACTTGGTATGGCAACAGCTTGGCATCCGACCGCAAGGCGCTACAGAAGGTAGAGCGTATGGCCAGTACATCACTGGGGCCAAGCTTCCTGCCATCCAGGACCTCTATACCAGGCGGTGTCAGAGGAAGGCCTTAAAAATTGTCAAAGACTCCAGCCCCCCAAGTCCTAGACTGTTCTCTCTTCTACCGCACGGCAAGCAGTAACGATGTACCAAGTCTGGAACCAACAGGACCCTGAACAACTTCTACCCCCAAGCCATAATACTGCTAAATAGTTAGTTAAATATCTGCATCGACTCTTTGACTCATCACATACGCTGCTGTTACTGTTTATTATATATCCTGTTGCCTAGTCACTTTATCCCTAGCTATATGTACATATCTAACTCAAATACCTCGTACCCCTGCACATCAACTTGGTACTGGTACCCCATGTATAAAGCCAAGTTAACGTTACTTATTTTGTCTTTATTCCTTGTGTTATTATTTTTCTACTATTTCTCTATAGTAAGCATTTCACTGCTAGTCTACACCTGTAGTTTACGAAGCATGTGACAAATAAAATTGTATTTGATACGTTGCGGTTACTGCTTTTTATCTATCCTATTGTCTAGTCACTTTACCCCTACCTATACACTGAGTAAACATAGATATGGACTGACCAGGTGAATCCAGGTGAAAGCTATGATCCCTTATTGATGTCACTTGTTAAATCCACTTCAAATCAGTGTAGATGAAGGGGAGGAGACAGGTTAAATAAGGATTTTTAAGCCTTGAGACATGGATTGTATATGTGTGCCATTCAGAGGGTGAATGGGCAAGACAAAATATTTTGCTTTTGAACGGGTTATGTTTCAAGAACTGCAACGCTGCTGGGTTTTTCATGCTCAACAGTTTCCCGTGTGTATCAAGAATGGTCCACCACCCAAAGGATATCCAGCCAACTTGACACAACTGTGGGAAGCATTGGAGTCAACATGGGCCAGCATCCCTGTGGAACGCTTGAAACCTTGTAGAGTCCATGCCCCGACGAATTGAGGCTGTTCTGAGGGCAAAAGGGTGGGTGAAACTCAATATTAGGAAGGTGTTCCTAATGTTTGGTATACTCAGTTTATGTACATATCTACCTCAATTACCTCGTACCCCTGCACCAACTCGGTACTGGTACCCCTTGTATATAGCCAAGTTAACATTACTCATTGTGTATTTATTCTTTGTGTTATTGTAATAATATAATAATAATAATATGCCATTTAGCAGACGCTTTTATCCAAAGCGACTTACAGTCATGCGTGCATACATTTTTTGTGTATGGGTGGTCCCGGGGATCGAACCCACTACCTTGGCGTTACAAGCGCCGTGCTCTACCAACTGAGCTACAGAGGACCACGTCTTTGTCTTTCTATTATTTGTTTCTCTCTGCATTGTTGGGAAGTACGCATTTCACTGTTAGTCTACACCTGTTGTTTACGAAGCATGTAACAAATTTTATTTTATTTTATTTGACCTGCCTAGTGAAGATCTAGTGGAGGTTACAGGTACTGCAGGTGGTTGTCCTACAAGAATGTCAAGGAGAGGTGAGGACATTCACAGAAACATACTAACAGAAGTGGATGGATTCACCCCGAGGCTCAGCAGATGCCCAAACACACACCAACAAACCAATAAAAACAACCCAGTTTTAAGTGCTCAGCTAGAATTATTTTGAAAATAAAGACAAATGGCATGGAAAAAATGATTGGCACCTGGGAGCTAGTACTTGGTTGCACAGCCTTTGGCCAAGACAAATGCTTCTTGTAGCCATCAATTTACTTGCTGCAACTTTCTACTGACAATTTGGCTGACTTTTCAGTAGCAAACTGCTCTAATTATTCAATGTTTTAGGGGTGCCCTCCACCAACTGCTGTTTTCAGATCTCGCCATAGGTTATGTGATTCAGATCTGAAATCTTCACTGGCCACTCCAGAACAGTCCAGCGCGTCTTCTTGAACCATTCCAGTTTTTTTTATGTGTGTTTGGGGTCATTGTCCTGCTGGAAGACCAACAACCTTCAACAAAGACCCAGTTTTTGGACCCTGTTGAACATTGCACTCAAAAACACCTTGATAATCTGCTGATTTCATGATGTCTTCCACGTTCAAGGCTCCCAGTACCAGGGGCAGAATAGCAACCCAACAGCATTATCTAACCTCCCCCATGTTTGATTGTATTGATGCTGTTCTTGTCTTTGAATGCATCATTTGGTCATTGGGAACACTCAACCAGACAAACAAACACTCACCCAAATACACATACACACAAATGTACACACAGAGTAAATGAGTTACATGCTGACCAAACCGGCTCCGCTCGTGCGTTCGCATGTTGATTTTGACCATCTCAACCAGCCGCGTTCATGACACGCAGGCTAAAATACCAAAACCAACTACTGTATATTAATTTGGGGACAGGTCAAAACACACATGAAACATTCTTGGACATTTAGCTAGCTTGCTGTTGCTAGCTAATTTGTCCTGGGAGATAAACATTGTGTTTTTATTTTACCGGAAATGCATATGGTATTTTTTTTACTGGATCTTTGTAGATGAGTAGATGGGAGAGGCAGGACATGCAGCGCGTCAAGTGTCTAAAATTGAACCAAGTTCTATTTTAGCGCCTGGCTACGCAGATGGCCATTGATACACGCAAGCAGTTTGGATAAAATGATTGAATAACGTGTACATTTATTTTGCAACCCAGCATGTTAGTGTTCCTGTTTAAACCCTGTGTAACTGATAGGAGTGAGTTACTCACTGGGAACCATTTTGCGCCTCGCAGAGGTGCTTTAACTGTAAGAATGTTCTCACAGTATCCCCGGGGAGAGTGGAAGGGCTCATCCAGATGTCTGTGGCCATGAGGAGAGCATGCTGGACCCCTAAACACACACACACACACACACACAGGCTCCCTGTTAGGGGTTCACCCAGCTGCTCCTCACCCTCTCCAGCAGACCCAGGCCAGGAGGAAGTCCTTGAAAGGATAATACACTTCCTGCCCATTTAAAGCCCATTGGCAGACCTCCTCTCACAGCTCAAGACCAATAGAAAAACCATGCAGTTTCCCAAAATCTGACTTAATATGGCTAACCTCTTGTCCTTTTATGGGGGTAATTTGTGCAGAAAAAGAGAGAGGGGATGACAAGGTAATCACAATTAGGGAAGAAGAGGGGGTCACCCCGGCATGATTTACTGCTTCCAACCCCTCGTAAACATTGTGTGTTTGAGCTACAGACTTCTGGGTTATTGGATTTGTCTATTTTTTCTGCATACACGAATACCAACAATTAGCTTGTGCGATTTACAGGGGCTGAACTAGAGCGGTGTTTGTGAAAGGGCGGATCCCGAAATGAGATCTTCTCACAAAAACGTATGTTAAGTCCGAACGGTTTGAGCTACAAACTGTTATGACCCCACTATGAAAAGCTGAGACTCTCACAAACATGCACATGGCGATCACAATCCACACAAGAGTCATTCGAAGATTATAGGAAATCCCAGGACATAGTATGTATAATACTGTAATAAGCTCACATAGCTGCTGTCACAATCTCCAAACTTCACACAGTTGTCACTGACTAGTTGGATATTATTATTATTATTATTATTTTTTTTTTATCAGGTTTTTGCTTGGTGGACCTTTTTTTATTGAAATGTGTCAATAAAAGTTATGAATCCATCTGTTCATGTCAAATTGTTTTGTGTTCTACTTGTAGCCCTGGTTGTCCTGAAAAGAAAATGGTAAAACACTTAAATGTGAGGCTAAATATAAGGGCAGAGCAAGCAGATTAACGAAAGTGGTGAATTTCAGCTTTTTCACTGTGAGAATCCCTGGGACCTATGAGCTTAAAGGAAGAGTGTTGTTATAAGGTGGTGTAACCATGTAAGGTGAGGTTAAAGGCTATACAACAGACATGTAATGAGAGATTAGAGTAAAGGTTTTAAAGGGATTTGGGGATTTTGTTGACCAATTCATGTCCATCTGTGGAATCTTTAGGTGCAGAACATGCAAGGGAATCTCAGTTTGTTTCCCTTCACCTCGTCAAATATCTACCATGAAGCATAACAGAATACACACTCCCTATGCTGTCAGCTTCTGCAGTTTTTAGGTCATCATGGTACACTCTTAGAAGCCTCTTGGCTCTAGACTACAACACGCCCTGATTTCGTCTGTGCTGTCATATTGGTGTGTCAGATAACAGCGGAGAGTGAGTGAGTGTGGGGGGGAAAAAAACACAGAATCAATATTATCTCACTGGTCACCTGACTGGGCAGTGTGTACACACCCCAAACACACGGCTGCTTCTCTATGGGTGACTACGTCAATCTCCTCAACAGTTACCAGGACACCACAGAACTTTACCTAAACATAGAGACCTCAACATAAGATATGACACACAGATACTGCTTTATAGATGGTGCATGCACAGCAGGTTTCTATAAAGAGCTGTCATTAGTATGTGTTGATGCTCTTTGCTCCGCAGCTGAATGAGGGTAGTATGGCTTTAGATAGTAGGCCTGTTAGCATACCCTCATTACAAACATAGCAATGTGTAACACTCAGACACAACCAATGGTGGTGAGGCACATCTGATAGCCCTGCTGAAACATAACATCATGACTGGTCCTTCACTTGGGTGCGATGACACACACACACACACACACACACAAACACCGGAGTGATGTTAGTAAAAAAGTTGTTTATGTTCCGGGGCCCAGTCATCTTCCTCACCTCTCTCCCTCTTCACTGACAGCTCCTCAGATTCATCATCCATCATCTCTGCTCTATTACCACTCATTCATTCCCTCAGTCACACGCCTCCTCTCTCCCTGGTCACTACTGCTGCTGCTGGCAGCGACCCCCCTGACCCCTCAAGGCTTCTCTCAGAGCTCTAAGGGAGGTGGGAAACATGAGCGAGCTACAGAGTACCAGAGGATGGTCTCCAGCCATGCAGTCCAAAGAGAAGGGGGGAGAGCGACTGCCTTTGAAAAGCAAAGAATCCCTTTGTGTCAAACTTGACTACAAAGTGTAAATAGAATCATTTTGGTGATGAAGTCAGTCTCGTCTATAACGGAGTTTGGAACATCTGTGCGTCACACCGGGTAAAAGAAGGTTGGGTTTTGATTTGACGATGTCCATTTGCCCACTAACATGAGCTGAACAGCTGCGACTGTTTACATAAGGCAATACGTCTTAACTTGAGAAACTGCACCAAACACCTTAGTTAGATGTAAAATTGCTCAACTAAAACATCCTCGGTCAAAACATCAACATTCATTAGATTTCTTGAGTTATCTTAGATTTATTCTGGAGATTTTGAGGAAGCACCAAACCATTTTCTACATATGTGAAAACAGAGCATTTCTATGATCTGTGGTTAAGAAAATAAGAAACGTCCTAACAAAAATTATCCCCCTTAACATTACAGGGTATGGTAGGATTAAAAATACATTTTCAAAACCTGGAATGAGTTTCTAGCCCAAGGGAGGGTATTTGATGATGTCATCAGGTTTTTTTTACTTAGAAATGTGCTGTTTTCAAATATGTTGACAGTATTGTGCTGGAGATAACGAACAGGAGGTTGAAAAGTGGTGGTCCCTTTAAGATCAAACAGAGAGGAGCAAAGAGTGTAAAAAATAAAGACTGAAGAATTCATGAGAATATTCTGATCTGGGAGCAAAATTATCCAGTCAGGCTTGAACTCACACACACAGGCAAAAACGTGTGAGCGCACACACACTCAGTCACACACAAAATGTAGAAGTTTGTACACAAACATACAGACAGACATGACCATTTGCCCTGGGTGTAGAGTCAGGCCAGACTTAAGTGTATGATAGCTTTCCTCACCATCTCTGTAATAACAACGAGCAGGTTTATCTTTAGGCCCCTGAGATGTCCCTCTATAATTAGAAAAGCAGGCCTCTAAGTTGAGAACATATGTGTGCGTGCGCACACTCACTCACACAGCGAACATAGGTGATACACACAAATATACAGGAAAAGATCGACAAAAGCAACTGCCCTGTTTTCCCAGCTCTGCTGGCCTCTTGACATCGAAATACTCACACACCATAACACAGGCTTATTCATAGACAGCTACAGTCAACAGGTCATTTAAGTGATAATGCCCGAGAAGCCGGTGTTTAGAGGATATATTGGCACGGGTGTTGGCAAACCGTGCCAATATATCCTCCAAACACTGGCTTCGAGGGCATTATCACTTTTATACAACGGGTTACCAACATATTCAAATAATGATTGACATATTTTCATGAAAAAATGTATTTTGATTAATTTATTCATACTATTTCATCCTTCCACAAGATATAGTCCCGACAATGCAAATATCATGGTACAGCTATATAGACACTCAATCACTATGGTACTTTTTGATGGTACATTTACAAACATATATTAGGATAAATAGATTTGAAACTTGTACCGTGGGGAAAAAAAGTATTTAGTCAGACACCAATTGTGCAAGTTCTCCCACTTAAAAAGATGAGAGAGGCCTGTAATTTTCATCATAGGTACACGTCAACTATGACAGACAAAATGAGAGAAAAAAATCCAGAAAATCACATTGTAGGATTTTTAATGAATTTATTTGCAAATTATGGTGGAAAATAAGTATTTGGTCAATAACAAAAGTTTCTCAATACTTTGTTATATACCCTTTGTTGGCAATGACACAGGTCAAACGTTTTCTGTAAGTCTTCACAAGGTTTTCACACACTGTTGCTGGTATTTTGGCCCATTCCTCCATGCAGATCTCCTCTAGAGCAGTGATGTTTTGGGGCTGTCGCTGGGCAACACAGACTTTCAACTCCCTCCAAAGATTTTCTATGGGGTTGAGATCTGGAGACTGGCTAGGCCACTCCAGGACCTTGAAATGCTTCTTACGAAGCCACTCCTTCGTTGCCCGGGCGGTGTGTTTGGGATCATTGTCATGCTGAAAGACCCAGCCATGTTTCATCTTCAATGCCCTTGCTGATGGAAGGAGGTTTTCACTCAAAATCTCACGATACATGGCCCCATTCATTCTTTCCTTTACACGGATCAGTCGTCCTGGTCCCTTTGCAGAAAAACAGCCCCAAAGCATGATGTTTCCACCCCCATGCTTCACAGTAGGTATGGTGTTCTTTGGATGCAACTCAGCATTCTTTGTCCTCCAAACACGACGAGTTGAGTTTTTACCAAAAAGTTATATTTTGGTTTCCTCTGACCATATGACATTCTCCCAATCCTCTTCTGGATCATCCAAATGCACTCTAGCAAACTTCAGACGGGCCTGGACATGTACTGGCTTAAGCAGGGGGACACGTCTGGCACTGCAGGATTTGAGTCTGATGGTAGGCTTTGTTACTTTGGTCCCAGCTCTCTGCAGGTCATTCACTAGGTCCCCCCGTGTGGTTCTGGGATTTTTGCTCAACGTTCTTGTGATCATTTTGACCCAACGGGGTGAGATCTTGCGTGGAGCCCATGATCGAGGGAGATTATCAGTGGTCTTGTATGTCTTCCATTTCCTAATAATTGCTCCCACAGTTGACTTCTTCAAACCAAGCTGCTTACCTATTGCAGATTCAGTCTTCCCAGCCTGGTGCAGGTCTACAATTTTGTTTCTGGTGTCCTTTGACAGCTCTTTGGTCTTGGCCATAGTGGAGTTTGGAGTGTGACTGTTTGAGGTTGTGGACAGGTGTATTTTATACTGATAACAAGTTCAAACAGGTGCCATTAATACAGGTAACGAGTGGAGGACAGAGGAGCCTCTTAAAGAAGAAGTTACAGGTCTGTGAGAGCCAGACATCTTGCTTGTTTGTAGGTGACCAAATACTTATTTTCCACCATAATTTGCAAATAAATTCATAAAAAATCCTACAATGTGATTTTCTGGATTTTTTTCTCCTCAATTTGTCTGTCATAGTTGACGTGTACCTATGATGAAAATTACAGGCCTCTCTCATCTTTTTAAGTGGGAGAACTTGCACAATTGGTGGCTATCGCCCTCCAGGTTCCCTTGGAGAGTTCATCAATGAGCTTGACGCCTTGATAAGTTCCTTTCCTGAGGATGGCTCACCCCTCACAGTTCTGGGGGATTTCAACCTCCCTACGTCTACATTTGACTCATTTCTCTCTGCCTCCTTCTTTCCACTCCTGTCCTCTTTTGACCTCACCCTCTCACCGTCCCCCCCTACTCACAAGGCAGGCAATACGCTTGACCTCATCTTTACTAGATGCTGTTCTTCTACTAATCTCACTGCAACTCCCCTCCATGTCTCCGACCACTACTTTGTATCCTTTTCTCTCTCGCTCTCCTCCAACACTACTCACTCTGCCCCTACACAGATGGTAATGCGCCGTCGCAACCTTCGCTCTCTCTCTCCTCTTCCATCCTATCATCTCTTCCCTCTGCTCAATCCTTCTCCCTCCAATCTCCTGATTCTGCCTCCTCAACCCTCCTCTCCTCCCTTTCTGCATCCTTTGACTCTCTATGTCCCCTATCCTCCCGGCCGGCTCGGTCCTCCCCTCCAGCTCCGTGGCTTGATGACTCATTGCGAGCTCACAGAACAGAGCTCCGGGCAGCTGAGCGGAAATGGAAGAAAACTAGACTCCCTGCGGACCTGGCATCTTTTCACTCCCTCCTCTCTACATTTTCTTCATCTGTTTCTGCTGCTAAGGCCACTTTCTACCACTCTAAATTCCAAGCATCTGCCTCTAACCCTAGGAAGCTCTTTGCCACATTCTCCTCCCTGCTGAATCCTCCCCTCTCTCTCCAGATAAAATCTTGCGACGGCAGGCCGCCCAACAACCTGCCCGCTTGACCCTATCCCCTCCTCTCTTCTCCAGACCATCTCCGGTGACCTTCTCCCTTACCTCACCTCGCTGATCAACTCATCCTTGACCGCTGGCTATGTCCCTTCCGTCTTCAAGAGAGCGAGAGTTGCACCCCTTCTCAAAAAACCAACACTCGATCCCTCTGATGTCAACAACTACAGACCAGTATCCCTTCTCTCTTTTCTCTCCAAAACTATTGAGCGTGCCGTCTTTAGCCAACTCTCTTGCTATCTCTCTCAGAATGACCTTCTTGATCCAAACCAGTCAGGTTTCAAGACTGGTCATTCAACTGAGACTGCTCTTCTCTGTGTCACGGAGGCTCTCCGCACTGCTAAAGCTAACTCTCTCTCCTCTGCTCTTGTCCTTCTAGACCTGTCTGCTGCCTTTGATACTGTGAACCATCAGATCCTCCTCTCCACCCTCTCCGAGCTGGGCATCTCCGGCGCGGCTCACTCTTGGATTGTGTCCTACCTGACCGGTCGCTCCTACCAAGTGGCGTGGCGAGAAGCTGTCTCCGCACCACGTGCTCTCACCACTGGTGTCCCCCAGGGCTCAGTTCTAGGCCCTCTCCTATTCTCCCTATACACCAAGTCACTTGGCTCTGTCATATCCTCACATGGCCTCTCCTATCATTGCTACGCTGACGACACACAACTAATCTTCTCCTTTCCCCCTTCTGATAACCAGGTGGCGAATCGCATCTCTGCATGTCTGGCAGACATATCAGTATGGATGACGGATCACCACCTCAAGCTGAACCTTGGCAAGACGGAGCTGCTCTTCCTCCCGGGGAAGGACTGCCTGTTCCATGATCTCGCCATCACGGTTGACAACTCCGTTGTGTCCTCCTCCCAGAGTGCGAAGAGCCTTGGCGTGACCCTGGACAACACCCTGTCGTTCTCCGCTAACATCAAGGCGGTGACCCGATCCTGTAGGTTC